GCTCTAAGCCGGCTGATGGCGAACGTGGGCGGCCCGAAGCCATGCCGAAGCTTCTGATGACAGCGGTCCAATCGGTGCTCGTGTACGGGGCAGAAATATGGGCTGACGCATTGAAAGTAAAAAAATACCGGATTCAAATGTCTTCGGTACAGCGCAGAGGGGCACTACGCATTGCTTCTGCATACCATACAGTGTCCGCGGACGCGGTTGTAGTTAATTCTGGCGTCATGCCAATTGAACTGAACTACTTGCTTACGAGCGAAAAGAGATTTACAATCTCAGTGCCGAGATAGGTCGAGCAGCTGCCGCGGCAAGGGCGCGCGAGCAACTGATCCAGCAGTGGCAACAAAACTGGAACGCGAGCACAAAAGGTCGATGGACACACTCCCTGATAGCCGACCTTCAAACATGGCTGAACAGACCACATGGGGAAGTCGATTTCTACCTGACGCAATTCCTCACCGGTCATGGTTACTTCCGAGAATATCTTCATAGAATGGGAAGGGTGGACTCACCGTTCTGTCACTACTGTGGAAACGTCGATGATAACGTGTACCACACATTCTTCACCTGCGAACACTTCTTGATTTCGCGCAGAATGTTGGAAGAAAGACACGGAGACATAACTCCGAACAACATAGTTGGGGTAATGATTTCCAGCGCAGAAAAGTGGGAAGCAGTTGCGAGATACGTGAAATTCGTATTCCGCTGCAAAAGAGAGGACGGTTGTCTACTGAGGACACCCGAATGAAACGCCCCTACAAAAGAGCAGCCCCAAGGCTCTAACAGCGCGCTCCTGCATCTGAAGACATGCAGAATTTCGGTGCCAGATGCGGGATTCTTGCGCGGGCGGTTGGAGTTTGGGTTTTAGTGGGTAGCCCAACACGCTTCGGTGGGAGTCCCACACTCGGGGAAGGTAGTATAGAGACTAGCGCCCCCGGCCAGTGCATAAAGCATTTCCCTCCTACGAAAAAAAAAAATTATAATAATAATAATAATTATTATTATTACTTAGAATCAAAGAGAAAGTATTTTTCTTTCTTATTTATTTAAAAAGCATCAAGTTAAAATTTTTTAAAACTCTTTTTGGATCCCTGCCCCTTGTTGACTTTAAGAACGTTGAAACGCACAGTCTTAGAAAGTGGACGACACTCGCCAACTGTAACTATATCACCGATTTCGACATCTCTGAAACATGGTGAGCAATGAACACTCATATTCCTATGACGCTTTTCAAAACGGCTGTACTTGCGAACGAAATGCAAATAATCACGTCGAATAACAATAGTGCGTTGCATTTTACATTTT